TCCTGTGGAGAGATGGGCTCCCGCCGAGGCGAAGCACCCGGAGAACCGCCAGGTCCCGCACCGCCAGACGCCACAAGGGGAGGTCCAGTGGCCGCAGGCTCCGCAGCTCCAGGCTCAGTAGCTCCAGACGCAGCACCCCCTGGCTCAGCACCCCCAGTCACAGCACCCCCAGGCTCAGCACCCCCAGACTCCGCACCCCCAGGCTCAGCACCCCCAGTCGCAGTACCCCCAGGCTCAGCACCCCCAGACTCAGCACCCCCAGGCTCAGCACCCCCAGGCTCAGCACCCACGCGCGTAGCACCCCCAGAGTCAGCACCCCCAGGCTCAGCACCCGCAGCAGGACCAGAGTCACCAGCAACCTCGACCGGCTCGACTGCGTCTACCTGGGACACACCTGAAGGGGCAGGACCCTGAGGGGGAAGGGGGTCTACCGGGGGGGGACCTGGCACAAGGAAGTGCGGTGGCGGGGGGAGGGAAGGAGTGCGGTAGGGGAAGAGGCGGTAGAAGGGGACTGACTCGTCGAACGTGACGTCCTGGGAGGACAGAACACGACGAGAGGAGGGGTGGTAGAACTGCCACCCTGGGGCATCAGGGGGGAAGCCGAGGAAGACACAGGGAGCAGCACGAGGGGACAGCTTGTCCGCAGACAAGTCGCGGACAAACGCCCGAGATCCCCAGACACGGAACGCAGACGCATCGCCGACCTTCCCCGTCCACAGCAAAGCTGGGGAGGTCTCCGACCGGGAGACCCTAGGGTGAAGGTTGATCTGATGCGCCGCGTACCGAACCGCAAACGGCCACAGAAAATGGGGGGCAGCCGCATGCATCATGGACGTACGAGCGACGTCCATGACCATGCCAATGCGGCGCTCAGCAATCCCATTTTGCTGTGGAGAGTCCGGAAGCGTAAAGGTCTGGCGGATGCCTCGTGCACGACAGTAGGCTCGCAGAAGGCCAGAGGAGAACTCTCCACCTCGGTCAGATCTCCGCCGCCTCCACCGCCACCTCCACCGCCCCCGCCAGTTCCACCCGCGCCCTTGCCCCCCTTGCCCCTGCCAGGGCGGCGTCTCCCACTAGGGGCAGACGCCGCGCAGACCGACTCAAGACCAAGCAGGTCGGCAGCAGCAGCAGAGGCAACAGAGGGCAGCAGGGGGGAAGGAGAACACCCCTCAAAGATGGGGGTGCGAGGGTCACCACGAGAGGCTCCTACAGCGACGATGCTCTTCTCCGCCGCAAGGAGGGACTTCTCGAGGAGGTCGACAGTGAGAGTGGTGGGACAGACTGAGAGGAAGTGGTCCCTGACTACGCGAAGGGAGTCAGGGAGGCGTGTGACTATGTAATAGAGAGTGATGTACATGGGGGGGGGGTTCTTGGCGCAGAACTCAGCAGGAAGGGCGGCGCGGTAGCGAGTGTCACTAGTGCGGAGGTGCGTAATGAGGTCAGCGACAGTGGGAAAGGCAGCAAGGTCAGGAAAGAGGTACGGTAGCATGAGGCGGCTCAGGGCAGCAGTGGCAGGGGAAGAGTAGCGCGCAACTACAGCGTCGTACAAGGTCTGAGCACTCTTGTACTGACTAAAGTGCGCGCGCTCAGTGGTAGGCAGGTGGCGACGCACAGCAAGACGTGCAGCAGCATCGCGGGTGGCCCACTGAGAGCGAACAGTGGGGTCAGCATCAGCAGCAGGGGCAGGAGAGGCGCCAGAGGTGAGGTCAAAGAGGGAAAGACCGTCCGCCCTATCGCACTGTAAGAACAGCTGCAGGTCGTCGACCCAGACCTCAAAGTCAATGGCTCGACCCTCAGCGTCAAAAGCGAGGACACTAGGGGTAGCCATGACGACGACAGTGTAGTAGTGCAAGCAGTAGGGGAAGGGCACGCAGTAACAGTGGTGCTGTGCTCACCAGGCAGGGCAGGTCGGGCGGCTCGGCAGTAGGGCGGCCCGGCAGCTGGGCGGCTCGGCTGCTCTGCTGCTGGGCGGCTCGGCTCCCGGGCGGCTCGGCGGCAGGGCGGCTCGGCTCCCGGGCGGCTCGGCTGCAGGGCGGCTCGACGGCTGGGCGGCTCGGCTGCTCTGCTGCTGGGCGGCTCGGCTGCGCTGCTGCTGGGCGGCTCGGCCGCTGTAGAGGAGTGTCGGGGCCGCTGCAGAGAAGGGCGGCGGGGCCGCTTGATAGGGCGGCGGGGCCGCTGATGGGGCGGCGGGGCCGCGAGGAAGGGCGGCGGGGCCGCGCGATGGGGCGGCGGGGCCGCGAGGAAGGGCGGCGGGGCCGCTAGATAGGGCGGCGGGGCCGCGCGATGGGGCGGCGGGGCCGCGAGGAAGGGCGGCGGGGCCGCTAGGTAGGGCGGCGGGGCCTCGCGATGGGGCGGCGAGGCCGCGAGGTAGGGCGGCGGGGCCGCGCAATGGGGCGGCGAGGCCGCGAGTAAGGGCGGCGGGGCCGCTAGGTAGGGCGGCGGGGCCGCGCAATAGGGCGGCGAGGCCGCGAGGTAGGGCGGCGGGGCCGCTAGGTAGGGCGGCGGGGCCGCTAGGAGAGAGGCGGCGGGGCCGCGAAGACGGGCGGCGGGGCCGCTGAGACGAGTGGCGGGGCCGCAGTGAAGGGCCGCTAGGGCGGCTCGACGAAGTGAGGGCCCGGAGCGCGACTCGGGCTGAGCGCGCTTCGGGCAGGAAAAAAAAAATCGATGTGGTGGGCCCTAAGCACAGTTCTCAAGGGGGAACCTGCTCGATACCATGAGAAGATTTGAACAAGAATGAATGAACTATGAATGAAGTGAGTACATATAGGAAACCCTAATTGGGTTGTACCCCCTATGGGATACCCCACTATAGCCTACACAACAGCATAAGCTATATATATGTTCTGACACGGCCCTCTTATCCGCGTGTTCCAACCGGGTGCCGGGGCTTCCCCTTCCGACCGTTCCCCTTCGTATGCTACCGTGCGGGGCTGGTGCCGCGATGGCTTTGCCCGCGTCGGCCTTAACCCGGATCTCCTCGGCACTCATTCCTTCTGTAAATCGGCGGCAACTGTAGCTGTCGACGTCAGAGTGCCGGACAGACTCTTCAAAGCCCTTGGTCGGTGGCGTAGTGATAGGGCTAAGGAGCTATATATTACACAACTCGATCGCGAGCTTGTCGATGCCTCTCGCGTACTACAGGACCCTCTCCGATCTAGCCTGACCGATCGGTACTTGACCACATTCGAGAGGGGTCGCCGCCGACCTCTCCCCTGATGTCTCGTTCGACCTATGACGACTGCACTGCACACTCCTCTGAAAGTCGTGTCACAATATGAGAATTTTTTTGTAACAAAAAAAATTACAGATTGTGGTTCGACTTGAAGAGGGGTTTGCTGTAAAGGAGACATTCTCCTTTACCTTTCGGCAGGTCCTCGGGACCTACCACCTAGTCTCATTTGCAGTTTTCACTTCTCTAGTTCCCACCCTCCTCTCCCTTATACACTGGATCGCTTGTGCGTATCTTGTTCCCGTTTAGAACACCATATGTATTCCATATTATCGAGTGTGCTGTATACTTGAGATGTGAAATGCTATGACGACTGCACTGCACTATGACGACTGCACTGCACACTCCTCTGAAAGTCGTGTCACAATCGGAGGGTTTGTCTTGGTTTGTACCGTACAATAAAGAAGCAAGTCATTTTGCTTATGGGTGAGTGAGCAGCAAGCATGCGGTTGAGGTAGGTGAGCAAGATGAACTGGTACGATGTTAGTGGCGAGCTAGACCCTAGTGCAGGGATCTGTTGTATTGGCTGCCTGCCTGGTTCTTGATCATCATCTAAGGTGTTAACCGTAAATTAATTAAATTGTGAGGCATTAACCCGAACTACCAAACAGTAAACTCGCCCCTTCGACTCAGGGTACATTCCTGCGGGGACATTTGTGTCTCATTCCCGGGTTTCCCGAGTCGCCCTTGTAAATTTGCCAAATGTTGTGTCACAAACAACCTATGTATCGCGACCCTGCGCGACAGATGGGCACGGCCAGGTGGGTGCGTACGATTGGTTGCGACCAATCGGATTGACCCCACCCAGTTTTCCCGCCGGGCACGGTGCCAGAACAGGGCCCTCGCTAGGTTTTGGGCCTGTCTGAGAGTATATCTGGATTTTTTTTTTGGGTTGCGGAGCAACCTATTGCAATCGATCGGAGCTGATTTTTTTTTTTCAAGAATTAATTATTCTTCAAAAATCAAACCAAACTACGGTAACAAAAACTTGTCACCCTGCTTACCTATATTTGTGAGAAAATACAATTACATGATAAAGTAATTGCATTTCATTCTTTTGTTGTACCTTACTATCCGAGGGGGCATACTCTGATGTTTTTGGGTTGAGAAGCAACCTATTGCAATCGACCTAAAGCAAAAAAAAAATCACGAAAAAAAATGTAAAATAACTGGAAAAAGTTTGTTTAGGGTACTACCATTATAAATTTGACAATCTTTTCATAACGATCATACCGTACTTGTTTACAGCTTTCTGGTCAATTGCTGGTCATTGCTACTCTACATGGTTATTTTGTAACTCGCATGATTTAGAAATGTGAGAATCTGTGGAGAACTGCAATGACCGACCAAACGATAATTGCATTTCTCATATTCATCAAACGAATTGATGAATATTTTAAGTTCTAAATTTATACTACCGCTTCCCCCGCCTAGCATGTCGGGGAAGTTAGCAATATACCGTATACTCCCGGACAAAACACCCCCCCATAATTGTACACCCCCGGGTAGCTTGTGCGGGGTGGGTGTTATGGGGAGCCTCGTTTCTACTATACCCCCCTTTTTGCCTGATTCTCTATAAGACCCGGGGGGGTGTTATGGGCGGCAAAAATACTGAATTTGCTTACATTGCATACAGGGTACTTTACAGGTACTACAGAAGTAATGTGCCAGCACATAGTCATCGACAATGTCACCTAGACTGCAGAAACATCACCACAAGAGCACCTCACATCCACAATTTCACCTAAAAAAACTCTATACAAAGTGCCTTCTACTCAGAATCGTCTCCTGCATGCCATTCTTCACAGTCTTCCCCGTCAAAGCGGCCAGGGCGCCACCATTCGTCATCGCTGGGCTCTTCTGCCTCCCCGCCTTCCTCAAGCACGCCCCCCTCCTCCTCTGCCGCCGCCGCTTCCGCGTCCTCCTCAGCGGCGTCAGCCTCCTCTGCCGCCGCCTGCAGCTCTTCGGCCGGCATGGGGACTGCGGCGTAGAAGGGGTTGTCGTTGACGTCGTCAAGGACTTCCACCTCACCCTTGTCCCGCATGTGGGCAAGGATGAGGTGGTCCTCGCTGCCATCGATGGGGGTGGAGATCCCACACGTGACGAACGCCTTCTTCACGAGCTCCTGTGGGATTGCTTCCCAGGACTCATCGATCCAGCGGAGCACCAACTCCGCTGGCGGCTTCTTGAGATTGCCTGAGGCACGGGGAAGGGTAGAGAAGGACAAATGTGAATTTCCAGAGCGTAAGCCGACATTGATTCAAAGTTACACATGCGGATGTCGTGGTTCAACTCACCGGACTTGGTGGTGGTGTTGATGCCCTCTTCTTCGAACCAGCCACTGTAGCGATGACGCACACCGCACTTGAACGCGCGGTTGATTGACACATCCAGAGCCTGCACTAGCGGAGTGCAGCCCCCTGGGATGACAGCCCGTGACAGCCGAAACATCCTCATGGTCTGCCCGACCGCCTCAGTCAAGTGGCCGCGGTAGGAGTCGAGCACAACCAAGGCCTCCCTGCGGCGTCCAGTTGATTCACGCAAGGGCTTCAGAAACGGCACCATCACCTGGGTGATCCAGTCCTGCACAAGTGATTCGTCCATCCACCCTTTGTCTTGTGCACGGACCACCACACCTGCCAAAGAATACCGGTACGTTAGGGTCAAATTCGGTTGCGGCTGTTGACAGGCTAGAGTAGTGACATCATCCTAAACGTGCTACGCTTACCGGCAGGGATGGGCACCTTCGGTATGGACTTGCGCTTGAACACCACGTACGGCGGCAGCTTGAGCCCGCTCGCAGTTACTGCCAGCATGACAGTAACACGCTCCTTCTCATAGCCCGCACTCCGTACGTGAACCGTCCGCGCTCCCTTCATTTCGAGCGTGCGCTCCGCCGGCATCTCCAGGAAAAGCGGGGTTTGGTCCGCGTTCAAGATGAGGTCAAGCGGGTAGTCGTGCAGAGAGTGCATCTGGCGCACAAACTCCCAAAAGGACTCCACCTTGGCCTTGCAATCTGCAAGCAAAGCCACGAGACACATTAGCTCAGCACTGAGATGGCAATCAAGGAGCACGACGGCGCAACACTTACCCGCTGCCAACTTCTGTCCCATCTTCGTCTTCACCCGCCTCGCCAGATGCCAGCGCGCGCGGAAACGAGTCGCCCAGCGGAACGATGCGCGCCAGTTGACCCCGGGCATCCGGTGCTTCATGTACTTGGCGCTCCACTTCTGGAGCATGCTGTCCGAAACGGCAAGCCCCCTCCCCCTGTGCTTGAGGAACTGGCGGTAGACCGCCCTTTCCATGAAAGGGAACTTGGACTTGCGGCCAGCTCCCATGAGGCGACGACGGCAGCTGGAAGAGACCTCCAGCCGCTCCCTCATCTTCTTCCAATCGCGGATCTGGCATGGCTGCACCTTCGCGAGCTTCGCCAGAGCGCGATTCGACAGGTCGGGCTGCGAGTCCTGCATCTTCAACCAGTGGAGCTTCTCCTTCGCGGTGATTCCCTTGCGCTGGCGTTTCGTCATGCGATGGCGAGGGGATGGCGGGTCAGCATCGGCGTTGCGCTTCTGCTGTCCCTGCGGGCGGTTCCGCTCCGGGAACGTGGGGACAACCACTCGAGGAAGGGTAGGGCGAGGACGGTCCAAGCTACTGCTCGGTTCATCCCTGGTAGAAGCACTACCGGGAGCATCTGGCTGAGGAAAGATCGGGCGAGGAGACGTCCGTGCGCGTGCAGAAGCGCTAGTCTGATTGGTGGAAACAGGCCGCTGCCGCCTATCTACCGTACTGCTAGAATCTGGAGATGAAGCCATGCTTGGGAACTAAGGCAGGTCGATGTCACTCGCCATGGGAGAAATGACTTTTAAAGACGATACCCTCGTGCACAGGAAGGAGATGCTCTCACAGCCTGCCGAGCACTTGTCAAAGACGTGCACTGGAACCGCTTGACGAAGAGAAGAGCAAGCTTGGGTGAGGAAGCTTGGACGTGACTACCGTACACGGGAGTCAAGGGGTCACAGGTACAGTGACAACACAGCACCGTGGGCCTCGTACTGCATGAACCCAAGCTGCTCGAGGTTGGCACTGATGTCAACCAATCAGGTGGCACAGTGGGCCCACTGGAATTTGCCATGTGGCAGATTCCAGTGGAGGCCGACGTTATCCTTGTAGACGCGGTTTGGCGGCCCTGATCAAAAAAATAATAATAAGGCCAGACCCCTGTTTTTGTTTCCATTCATGTCTGCTTATAAAAAAATGTGCAATATAATAAGACCCGGGTATTATGTATTTTTTTCCTATGAGGAGACTGTTGAATTATATTGCATATCTTATAACTGCCTACAGCTAGCTAGTGTACTAGTTTAGGTATTAGCATCAACTGCTGGTGGTGTACCCTCCCTTTTGCCCATTCCTATATCTTGTATTCATTCCATAGTGAAACTCCTCTTTTGGCCAACCTAAACTCCCTCGATAACCATCTCACTATGCTACTCTCCCTCCAAGCTCCTAATCTCCCAATTTCTTATCTCAACATGGTATTAAGAGCTGGGTCCTTCTAAGGACCTTGTTATTTTTCATTCGCCATGGCTGCCATCGTTGCCATGGCGACCGTTGCTGCGCCCTTCGAGGCGCTCGCCCGTTGCCTGCCCCGCGCTGAACGCCCCGTGCTACCCGCCCCACGCGCTGGTCGCCCCGTCCCGCGCGCTGTCGCGTCGCCCCGTCGCTGGTCGCGGACGCCAGCACCAGCGCCTCTGACCGTCGCTGACGCCAGCGCGAGCGCCAGCGACGTGCGCCAGCGCCAGCGACTGTCGCGAGCGCCAGCGCCAGCGCCAGCGCCGGTCCCCAGCGCCAGCGCCAGCGTCAGCGCCAGCGCCAGCGGCATGCGCCAGCGCCGGTCGCGAGCGCCAGCGCCAGCAGCGGCCGCCAGCGCCCCTGCCATCGCCACCCCGCTCCCCGCCTCCGCACCTGCCGTCGCTCTCTTCTACGGTGGACGTTGCGGGGGGGAGGTGGCGAGGCTCGCGCCCGCGGCTACGGGGGTGCTTAAGCCCCCTTGAACCCTCCTGCCCCTCCCTAATCCTCCTCCTCATCGCTGCCCGTGCATCTGCAGTTCGTGCCGCGTTTGGGGGGGGGGGGGAGAGGGTGTGGGGGTGGCGGGTATGTGCAGGCAGCCGCCTCCCCCTTCTCCTCCTCCTTCCGCTGCACTTCCTCTCCTCCTCCTCCTCTCCTCTCCTCCAGCCGCATCTCCTCCTCCTCTCCTCTCCTCCAGCCGCATCTCCTCCTCCTCTCCTCTCCTCCAGCCGCATCTCCTCCTCCTATCTCCTCTCCTCCAGCCGCATCTCCTCCTCCTCTCCTCTCCTCCAGCCGCATCTCCTCCTCCTCTCTTCTCCTCCAGCCGCATCTCCTCCTCCTATCTCCTCTCCTCCAGCCGCCTCTCCTTTGCTCTCCTCCTGTGCACCACCAGCAGCTTCCTCCTCCTCACCAACAGTTGTGTTTGCTCGTAGATGGCGAGCGACCAGCATCCTTCGCCCTCCGGCTATCCCAGCCCTCCTCCGCGCTCTCCGCGCCCTCCTCCGTCCTGGCGTTCACAGGTGCTGCCGGTCAGCCACCGCTGTTTCTGTGCCTATCCCAGCTACAGCAACCGCTCTCCAGGCGACCTGGTGCCAGGCACCACTAGCTATAGCCGTAGGCAGTTACGGGGGTGTGTTGAATTATATTGCATATCTTATAACTGCCTACAGCTAGCTAGTGTACTAGTTTAGGTATTAGCATCAACTGCTGGTGGTGTACCCTCCCTTTTGCCCATTCCTATATCTTGTATTCATTCCATAGTGAAACTCCTCTTTTGGCCAACCTAAACTCCCTCGATAACCATCTCACTATGCTACTCTCCCTCCAAGCTCCTAATCTCCCAATTTCTTATCTCAACAGAGACCCCCCCCATTTTTTCCCTGTATTTTTAGCTATACCCTAGGGTGTTATGTCCGGGAGAATACGGTAAGGGTTGAAAAAAACAGCTACTGTAATAAAGCAATACAAAATGCATATCGCAAAAAAATATCTAAACCGATCAAGTCCAGCTGAAAATGGCTTCACTGTCATAGTGGTGGACCACTCAACCTTTTGTGACGATGATCGGCAAGATATATTTTTGAAAAATGCAGATATGCATTACGATTGCAACGAGAAGCATAATACAAACAGAAATGAAACAAATCAAACAATAACTCATAATTAAAGGAACTAAAAAAAATGAACTGTAAGTGGTACGACACTCCCTCCCTTCATATCCATCCTGCCTAAAAGCGAGTATCTGCGATAACAAAAAAGAAGCATCGAACGCAAGAAGAAAGATGTGATATTAAGAATTGAAGTTTAAAATAGAATGAAGAGAATGGCTGTAACGAGAGAGAGCGAGAGAGAGATAACTAGAGAGAGAGAGAGAGAGAGAGAGAGAGAGAGAGAGAGAGAGAGAGAGAACGAGAGAGAGAGAACGGGAGAGAGAGAGAGAACGAGAGAGAGAGAGAGAGAGAGAGAGAGAGAGAGAGAGAGAGAGAGAGAGAGAGAGAGAGAGAGACTCAGAGAACGAGAGAGAGGACGAGAGAGAGAGGACGAACGAGGAGAGAACGAACGAGAGAGAGAGAACGAGAGGGAGAGAACGAGAGAGAGAGAACGAACGAGAGAGAGAACGAGAGAGAGAGAACGAGAGAGAGAACGCGAGAGAGAGAACGAGAGAGAGAGAACGAGAGAGAGAACGCGAGAGAGAGAACGAGAGAGAGAGAGAACGAGAGAGAGAGAACGAGAGAGCGAGGGAGAACGAGAGAACGAGAGAGAGAGAGAACGAGAGAGAGAGATCGAGAGAGAAAGAAAACGAGAGAGAACGAGAAAGAGAACGAGAGAGAGAACGAGAGAGAGAGAACGAGAGAGAGAGAACGGGAGAGAGAGAACGGGAGAGAGAGAACGGGAGAGAGAGAACGGGAGAGAGAGAACGAGCGAGAGAGAACGGGAGAGAGAATGGGAGAGAGAGAACGAGCGAGAGAGAACGGGAGAGAGAGAACGGGAGAGAGAGAACGGGAGAGAGAGAACGGGAGAGAGAGAACGAGCGAGAGAGAACGAAATGGACTGAACGTGCAACCTATTACAATCTTTATGTACAACCTAAGACGAGGTTGAGAAAAAAATGAACTAAAACATGCAAATATGAAGAAAAGGCAACCGACGAGAGGAAAAGTTTAAGGATGAAGAATAGAAGAAACAGATGCAAGCTTATGCAGGAAGGAGAACCTGAAATCTTTACAAAGGGCCGAGAACCTAAGTTTAAACAACTAAGTCTCGCTAATACTCATCCATTTACACGGTTAGGATACGGAATGACTAAATGTTAGTCTATCTAATAGGCATTTAATTTAGTTGGAGTTAAAATTGAGGGATCTTCTTACCTAAGTTGCAGTTAGAGTAGGTGGAGAAGTTGGTAGAGCGTGACGAGCGAGAAGGAGAAGCGGGAGAAGAAAAGGGCGAACAAATCTCAGATTCGTCGCAAATTCTTATGTCCAATTAACTCAGCTTTTCAAGATGGACATCAGTGCTGTCGCAGTCGTACAAGGTTGACGGTGGAATCGAAAGGTATCCAGTTCGATTCTCACTCAGGCGGTACTTTTGATCTTTGCCTGGTGAGAGGAAGTACCACTTAGTGTCATACTACAGCATATTGTACAGAATTAGAAGTTGTACAAATTTATATAATTACGCAAAACGCTTCGCAACCCTAAGACGAATTCGTCGCCTCTCGTTTTTTTTTTTTTTAAGATGACCAAGTTTCTGTTGTCTTACACTAAAGACAAAAAAGTCTACACAGTCTGATCCTTCAGACGAAAAAAAAAAGCCCCGTCTGAACCTATTACAAAGTAATGATTTAGGGTTTAGCTCTAACTATTTATCAATATGTTAAGCAGTTAACATCCTAAACAACTACCAACCTAGTCAGAGTCACTACCAGCGCTGTCGTAGTCATCATCAGTCTCAGCCTCACTTTCCGCAAAAGGGTCAGGAGCTTTTCCCCTATCCTTCCGACTGAGCCAGGGGTATTCTGCATCAAGCCTTGCGGCTTCAGCTGCTAGGGCTGCTTCTCGGGCTGCAGCTTCTGCTGCTGCCAATGCTGCGGCTGCTGCTGCTGCTGAGGCAGATCTCTTCTTCGCGCGCTTGCTTACTCTCTCCCCGGAAGCCATCAACACATCCTTGGCAGGCCTGCGTTTCTTCGAACCGTTAAACCGCCTCAGTAACTCGGGCCACTCCATGTCATAGCTGAGAAGCGAGACGGTCATCAGCTCCCCTAGCTTCGCGTCACACAGGTTCAGGCTGTCCGCAAAGCCCACATCCTCCTGGTGTGTGGACATGATCGTCGAGAACGTGACGATCTCCCGCTGTGCTCGCGCCCAGTTGATGCCTGTGGGGTGTGGTTCGCAATGGGAAGTGCAACTGAAATATGTCAATATGGTTAAACATGTAATGCCTTAATATGGTCGAGTATTGTTCACATAGGCATGAAATGTCGAAACTGTTACGCACCGGGTAGGGTGTCAGGGTCTTCAGGCTTCTTCTTAAACATGTTGCGCAGAGAATGCAGCCACTGCCCAAGTTTCCTCTCGCGCTTCGCCTGGTTCTTGGGATATGACCCTTGCTTGAACAGCTTCGCCCCGTCAAGGTTGGCGAGGTCCTTGAGTCGGAAATCCAGCCGGCCGATCAACGTTGTCACGAATGCGCGCGCCAACTCCAAACACGCACCGTGGTCCGCACCGCCCTTCTGCCCCTTGATGGGGTCCTTGTGGAGTGTGTAGGTGAGGTCGCTTGATGTACCGTCGGCCGCCTTGCCAGCCACCTTCACCTCCCGAGACTCCCGGGACGCGTGCTTCTTGAGAAAAGGGCCCAAAGCATCTCCACCCTGGCCGAAAGAGTCGTCGTCGCTGTCGAAGTAACGAGTGCGCAGCAGCAAGGTAGTGTTGTGAACCATCGGCAGCACATGGGTCGCGTCAACCTGAAATGAAGCATAAAATAGGTTAGTACTTGACGGGTAGTTAAAGTAATACGAGTGTCTTGCATATTAAACGCTCACCTGGCGGCGCTGGAACTTCAAGCTCAGATTGTTGAGCTCCTTCAGGACATCCGCAAGGAGAAACAACATGAACTGAAACTTGTAGCTAGTGATGACCTTGTACATCTTCTTGTCGAACTCGTGCAAGACAAACACTGCCGCCGGAAACACGTTCACCAAGCGGCCGATAGCTTGACCGCGAGACAACCACCGAACGTCCTTGATCCCTTGAACTTCGAGGTTGGTCTCGCAGATGACCTCCTGCAACTCAAGAAAACGTGAGTGGACGACCGAAGACCGACCAAGATTTTCGGCAACGAAGCGAACCACCTTGTCCACAATGTTGAGGTCCGGGTGTTTGATGGCGGCATCTTTGGCCGCCAAGGCCTCCCTGCAACGCATAAAGACGGAGAGTTAGAAATCACGAGAGCGTAAACAGAAAAACACAAAGCAAGAAGCCAGCATACAACGGAAAGTCCCACTTGCCTGTGCGCGATGCAGTGTGATGACACGATATGTGGAACCTTCTCTTTCAGGCGCGCGGTCGCTCCGTTGTGCTGGCCGATCATGACACTAGCTCCATCAGTGCTCATACCGGATATGCGCTGGAGATCGATGCCGCTACACTCCAAATGGGTAAGGAGAACGGTCGTGAGAGAAGCGGCGTCACACTGGTCCACAGTCAGCAAGGCGTAAAACTCGGTGACGGGAGCGTTGTCACGCATGAACGTCATGTAGACGATCATGTGTTTGCCCTTCCTCCGGTCGGTACTCTCGTCCAGCTGAATTCCAAGGTATGGACTCGCGCGGATGTGTTTCAGCTGGCGGGATTTCAGGTAGCACACCATGGTCTCCACCAGTTGTGCGAAGCCGTACCTGAAATAAGGCGGGATTGCTATCATTAGCATCTCTTCGAAAGCAAACCACAGAACTCAATATACGGGACACTTATGTGAAAGTAAGCAGTAGAAGAAGGCGCCATAGCTAGGAAAGCCCTAGCTAGGCAAGAAACAGTTTAGGCAAAGAAGGAGGAGTTGCACTAGCAAGAATGAGGATACAAATAGCAAACCCTAGAAGGGTTGTACTCGCTATAGAGCACCCCACTACAGGCTAGAGCATAATATTCTGACACACCCCCATAGCCAAAGTGGGGTGTAATCAGCAGAGCAAGCAAAGCAGAACAAGCTCAGGGTGGATCACAATGTCACCACACATTCTGAGTACAAGTTCAGGAAGCAATAGTTTAAAGTTCACAATTATGAGCAAAGCTAGTGGTAGTCACAACGGGCAAGTGAGGAGGAGGAGGGACAGTGAGAGGAGAGGAGATAGGAGGCGACGGCTGAAGCTGCAGACACACGGGCAACAGGAGGCACACTGGCACAGCGGCTACCGGAACAGCGCTCCGGACTACTGGAGTAACTGGCCCCGCGGCTAAAAGTAGCGGCAGACGAGCAACGGACCCACGGGCGACTGGCACAGGTGGCTACGACTGGGCTACCGGAGCAACTCCCCGGACTACAGGTGCTGCTGGCGACACGACGGCAACCTCCGTTCAACCTCCCCCAAACAGTACCACCCCCCCTGACACACACCCCCTGCTTCACCCCTAGCTCCACTCCCCCTTCACCCTCCCTTAGTACCACTCCGACGGCTCCAACAGGTCCACCCTGCCTCAGCGGCAACTGCAGCATAGGGAGACGGAGGAGGAGGAGGAGCAGGGAACGGCACACAGAAGCTGCACCCCCATACCCCCCACCCCCAAACCCTAATCCAGGAGAACGGGCAGAAGGAGGGGTGGGGCGCCTTCAGAAGCACGGGGGACAGCGGGGAGGACAGGGGCAGCGAAGAACGGGCCGCCCACGGGCCTGGCACAGCCTCCCGAACCGCGCGCAGGCGGCCCGAGCCGCGCGCGGGCCTGGCGCAGCCCGTACGGGCCGCGCGCGGGCCTGGCGCAGCCCGTACGGGCCGCGCGCGGGCCTGGCGCAGCCCGTACGGGCCGCGCGCAGGCCTGGCGCAGCCCGTACGGGCCGCGCGCCGGCTGTACGGGCCGCGCGCAGGCCACGACGGGCGACGGGGGACGACGCGCGGGTCCCCGTCGCCCGTCGTAGCGCCTCCTGGGGGCGACGCGCCGAGTGACGGGGCAGAAACCCATCGCGCGCCTCGGGGCGCACGGCGGGCAGAAAACCGCCGCGCGCCTCGGGGCGCACGGCGGGCAGAAAACCGCCGCGCGCCTCGGGGCGCACGGCGGGCTGAAAAACCCTAATTTCGACGCCGCGCACCACGGGGCGCGCGGCGGACAGGGAGTAGCAGTAGCAGCGGAAGCAGTGAGGTGGGGCCCACAGGCCAGGAGCATATCGCTCTAATACCATGTGAAAGTAAGCAGTAGAAGAAGGCGCCATAGCTAGGAAAGCCCTAGCTAGGCAAGAAGCAGTTTAGGCAAAGAAGGAGGAGTTGCACTAGCAAGAATGAGGATACAAATAGCAAACCCTAGAAGGGTTGTACTCGCTATAGAGCACCCCACTACAGGCTAGAGCATAATATTCTGACAACTTACTCGCTGTAATATGTCCCGTCCTCCTTAAGGGGCATATCCGGAGTCCCCTGCTCAGCCATGAACTGGACGAGTGACACAAAGAGCACAATGGGCGCGTCAGACTTGCAAATGAATAAGACAATAGACAACAAACGTGCAAGGCGCTTGATATCCTCGTCCCCTTGGTGGAAGTCAACGATGGACTTCTGTCCTTTCTTCGCGCCGTCGCGTTGTTCCTTCTCCCGGACCGCCGCCTCATGCTTCACGCTGTGATGATGCTTGGGCATCGTCTGTTTCTGAATGTCGATGCCACCAACACCGTAGCGCCCGTACTTAGAGTGGGGGTCGGCGAACACCATGCAGATGCTGCAGCGCATGCAGGGTCGGCAATCCTTGGTACCATGGAAGAGCCATGGAAAGTACCGCTGCCACTGCTCCTTGCACTTCAGCTGAAGCTCTTCAACCGACAACTGCTTGCCTTTGGGGTCCTCGAAGTCCTTAGCCGCAGGTTCGGGGGCCACGGGTCGCGTCTCCACAGACGGTGCCGGCTGAGTCGGACCGCCCGGACGCGCGAAGTTCAGCACACGCTGCTTGTACCGCCTGTCAGAACATTATAGCTCATGCATATTGTGTAGGCTATAGTGGGGTAGCCCATAAGGGGTACAACCCAATTAGGGTTATTACTTGTACTCAATTCATTCATAGTTCATTTCATTCCTTGTTTCTTCTCATGGTATCGAGCAGGTTCCCCTGTGGGAACTGTTCCTAGGGCCCACCGTTTTTTTTTTCCTGCCCGGAGCGCACTCAGCCCCTGCCCGAGTCGCGCTCCCCTCTCTCGCGCCGCCCTAGCGGCCCCTTAGCGCCGCCCTCGCGGCCCCTTCGAGCCGCCCTCGCGGCTCTATCCGCCGCCCTTCGCGGCCCCTACTCCGCCGCCCTCGCGGCCCCGATCCGCCGCCCTTCGCGGCCCCGATCCGCCGCCCTCGCGGCCCCTTCTCCGCCGCGCTCGCGGCCCCTATCCGCCGCCCTCGCAGCCCCGCTCCGCCGCCCTCGCGGCCCCGATCCGCCGCCCTTCGCGGCCCCGATCCGCCGCCCTCGCGGCCCCGCTCCGCCGCCCTCGCGGCCCCGATCCGCCGCCCTTCGCGGCCCCGATCCGCCGCCCTCGCGGCCCCTACTCCGCCGCCCTCGCGGCCCCGATCCGCCGCCTTCGCGGCCCCGATCCGCCGCCCTAGCGGCCTCCGGCCCCTGCTCCTACGGCCCCGGCGCCTGCTCCTACGGCCCCCGCGCCTACTCCTACGAGCAGCCCACCCGCCGAGCCGCCCAGCAACCAAGCAGCCCAGCCGCTGAGCCGCCGAGCCGCCCAGCCGCCGAGCCGCCCAGCAGCCGAGCCGCCCAGCCGCCGAGCCGCCCAGCAGCCGAGCCGCCCAGCAGCCGAGCCGCCCTGCCGCCGATACGCCCAGCAGCCGAGCCGCCCAGCAGCCGAGCCGCCCAGCCGCCGAGCCGCCGAGCCGCCCAGCAGCCGCGCCGCCCAGCCGTCGAGTCGCCGAGCCGCCCTGCAGCCGAGCCGCCCGAACCGCCCTGTCCGGTAAGAGCAGCGCCTCTCTCACAGCACTGCCCTCACCCTACTGTTTGCACTCCTAGTCTACTGCTGTCATGGCTACCCCTAGTGTCCTCACTTTTGACGCTGAGGGTCGGGCCATTGACTTTGACGTCTGGATAGATGACCTGCAGCTTTTCTTACAGTGCGACAGAGCAGACGGCCTCTCCCTCTTTGACCTCACTTCTGGTGCCTCTCCTGCCCCCGCTGCTGATGCTGACGCCACTGTTCGCTCACAGTGGGCCACGCGCGATGCTGCTGCACGTCTTGCTGTGCGTCGCCACTTACCTACCTCTGAGCGTGCGCACTTTAGCCAGTACAAGAGTGCTCAGACCTTGTACGACGCTGTAGTTGCACGCTACTCCTCCCCTGCCACTGCTGCACTGAGCCGCCTCATGCTACCGTACCTCTTCCCTGACCTTGCTGCCTTTCCCACAGTCGCTGACCTCATTACGCACCTCCGCACTAGTGACACTCGCTACCGCGCTGCGCTTCCTGCTGAGTTCTGCGCCAAGAACCCCCCCCCCATGTACATCACTCTCTACTACATAGTCACCCGTCTCCCTGACTCCCTTCGCGTAGTCAGGGACCACTTCCTCTCGGTTTGTCCCACCACTCTCACCGTTGACCTCCTCGAGAAGGCCCTCCTAGCAGCAGAAAAGAGCATAGTCGCTGTAGGAGCCTCTCGTGGTGACCCTCGCACCCCCATCTTTGAGGGGTGTTCCCCCTCCCCTCTTTTACCCTCTGTTGCCTCTGCTGCTGCGGCCGACCTCGCTGGTTTGGAGTCGGTTGGGGCAGCGTCTACCTCTAGCGGGAGACGCCGCCCTGGCAGGGGCAAGGGGGGCAGGGGCGCTGGAGGAGCTAGCGGGGGCGGTGGAGGCGGCAGTGGAGGCGGTGGAGGAGGTGGGGGTGGCGGTGGGGGTGGTGGCGGGGGTGGAGGTGTAGGTGGCGGCAGTGGAGGCGCAGGCGGCAGCGGCGGTGGCGGAGGGAGCGGAGGTG